AAGCATAGTTTTCACTTTAATTATATACACAAATCATAAAAATTATATTATAAAAATAAAGTAAAAAGAGAAAAAAGACATGTTGGATTCCTAAATTTAATATATTTAACAATATAATATTCAATCGAAGCAATCCATGCATAATGGAGTTGTGCATCCTTTGCACAAAGTTGGTAGCATTTTTGCCTCTTTGAGAATTATGCATATAGAAATAGCGATCTTTTGCTTGTTTTCCCAGCTTTATTTGTCAGCAAATACTCCAGGAAATGATGTAACCTCATGAATTCTAGATTTAACAGTTATCTATACTCAGATCAAGAATTGATAATGCCTGCTTCATGGGGTCAATTTTAAATCATCAATTGTTAACTATCTTAATAACTGTTCTTTTATTGTTCTCTCTCCTTAAAAATATCTTTTTTCTTTCACGGATTATTACACTGAGTAACCTCTTGCATCTTAGTGGCTTCATCACCTTACTTCAGGGGAAATGATTAAAAAAATTCTCTCATGAAACATCAACTGATGATAGCCATTGTTCAAGGGTTAAACCAGTCTTGTGTTGCATTTTCCCTTGTAGAGGGCGAAATAAATAATAAAATATTTAATATATTAAATTTTTCCAAAAAATATCTGTTAAGTATGTCATTAGTTGTTAATAAGCTAGTGTGCTAGCATCCATATTGAACATGATGCATGCATGTGTGCAAGTACAAACAGTAACCCAATGAATTCTAGAGTTGACAATAAGTCCTTTTCACTTAAATCATCAATGAATTCTTCCCATATCATTGGAAAATGGATAAATCATCTATTAATGATATGCGCTGATATCAATGACACATTAATTGATGAAGCCTGACAGACTTCAATGCTCAGCTAATTTAAATTTCATCAATCAAACCATATAATAATTATCAATGTGTATTTATTTATATATTTCTTGTCCCATCTATAGTGGGAAGAGAGGGAAATCAACTTAAGTTAGTAAATTTATGAGTGATTACTTCCTTTAGTCATTTTAATAATCTATAGAAATAAAATCTGCATTTAGACAAAATTATTTCCCACACAAAATAAACAATTTCATTAATCAGTTCCTTTACTCTTACATTTCTGAGATTACAGACTGGTGAGGCACTCAGTATATTAAGTGATCGTCTTGTTTCAATTTCGTCTTGAAATGGGTTTTGTCATTCTGTTGCTAATGATTTCCTTCTGAGAGATATTTCCATTTCACTTTTATATTAAACACAAAATTTTTAACATGCAAAGATATTGAGCAAAAAGTGATTTAAGAGTAATCTTCGATACCATTGAACGTCAAAAAAATATAAAGGGAAGGGAATTTAATTAAACAGTTTTAGTGGCATCCATTTTAGTTGTTGATTCTTTATCTTTGCTTTATTGAATCTCAATAAATGTTTTTTTTCTTTCATTGTATCTCACTATTAAAACTTTCTAAAAATTGTCATCATCTTTACATCACAAGTGCATGAGTTTTAATATAAAACATGTAAATATGGTAGAAGAACCAATCTTGACTCTGAAGAGGGGGTCATTGCAAACACCCCTACCCTACAAAAACAAAAACAAAAAAAATCTAAAATCTCAACCCAATTACAGAAAGTAATTTTCTTCAGGAATATAAAACAAACCCAATTTTATCATTTACATTATTTCAAGTGTAATTAAAACAAAATTCATGCCAGATTAAAATATTTAGTATAAAATGAAAAAAATTCCAGAGATTTTGAAAAAAGAAAAACAGTCAAGAAAAAAGCAATGAATAAATAAATAAATAGATGAAAAGCAAATGTCAAATAATAATTTATCAGTAAGGTCAATTTTCTTGTGTTTAATTATTCATCATGGTTGTTCAGCTTCTATTTAAAGCTTATCATTGTAGACTTTATTATCGGATCAGTTTAAATTTTGTAGCGAAAAGACTGTGAATATATAAAGAAAAGACATCAGTGTATATCCAACAGCGTCACAGGAAACCAAATCCAAGAGCAAGGATAAGAACTAAGGATAATAGGTAATGTGTATGTTTCATCTGCGCCTCTGTGCGTGTGTGTGTGTGTGTGTGTGTGTGTGTGTGTGTGTGTGTGTGTGTGTGTGTGTGTGTGTGTGTTAAATTTGAGGTTGGCAAGTTACTCTCAGGAGCCAAATAAAAGGGTAGGGGTCATTATATACTCTTCGATCTCTAATAGAAGTGGAGGATGTTTGTTCCTTTTCAGGGCATTTTCTGTTACTTCCCCTGAGCTTTTTGACCATTTCTGGGTTTCTTTTATGAAGACCATCCCCATTTGTTGCATATCAAGAAAAATTCCAAGCCCAACAATTATTAAGATCTCCCTCATATTAGGCACTTGACAGTAGTATGTAATTCACATCAGGAAATATCAGAGGGCTGAACTGAATTTTCATCAAGAATGTTTGATTTAAAAGGAGTTGATCTGTGGTGACCCCAATATGTACTGGATTCATCCTAAGAGATACCAAAGAAGATTTTGCATTGAGTGTCACAGCAGAGCATCATCAAAACCAGGTCATCAGTGGGTTGATCAATAAAGTGACCTCCAACCTATTACAGGATGTCCCCAACATATAGACAGATGGTTGGCCCAGCTGTGCTTAAATAGTGCACACTTGGGTAACTGGATGACAGAAAGATATATAAGAACCTCACCCCCACCGCCAACCTAGAGCAAAGAGTTTCTTACATTTTTATTTGAAGACCCAAATTAAAAGAAAGCCTCCAATTATTTACTGACAAAGTCCAGAAATGATTGAATAATAATTTTACATCTGAGAGTTTGTATCATATTCTTATTAGTCTGAACAATGTTAATGTTACAACAATAAATAGGTGGGGAGTTGGAAAAAATGAGGGAATGTAATAAAGGGTGTGGTTTTAATAAACAGTTAGGCATTGGAAAAAAATGGGAAAATCTAATAAGTTTGGGATGGCAGCAGTAAATGGTGGTGTTGAGAAATCATTAAAAACCATAACAAAACATTGATGACAAATGTCTGTCATCATCTTTTAAGTAAAATGATTTGACAACATTTCCATGCAACCTTGTCATTACATATATAAATTAATGTTTATCAATGCCAGCAAATAATATATATATATATATATATATATATATACATATAATTTAAATTGAAACCACCTTTGGAAGTAAAGTCTGATGATCCGCAGTCCTTTAAAAGGGCTGTGGTGAAATAATTTACTACATGGAACCTTAAAGTGGTCTGTTTTTATTTAAATTATTTTCTCTGGATTTACATTGAGCTCTCTGGATTTTATCCTCCTTGGGTCTACCCATACGGATTACCTAGTTTTTCATAAACTATATATATATATATATATATATATATATATATATATATATATGTATGTATATATTCTCCGATTTCTTTTTGAATTTGTAGGTCTGATGAATTGGATCGTGATTACAATTCCAATGTAATAAATTATAACCATGGAATATTAATGATTGAGCCTTTTATATTATATTCTTGCTCTGTCCTGGACATTGAGCTCTACCTGGATTCTATCCTCTTGTAAATATATATATATATATATATATATATATATATATATATATGATGAAAGCAAATTAATGAATAATAATTACATCAGACACACAACTACATGCATATCAAGTAGATTTTTCAACTGTCAAATCATAATTCTATTAGAACTTCGTTTAAATAAACATGGAAACTTACCAACCTCTATTCGCAATATACTTGTAGAAAATATGAACATAATAGACTCATCTCCATGCAGAAAATCATTAAAATAATGGCATTGTTAATAAGAGAAAAAAAGAATAATATCAATTGTGAACACGGCCAAAACATGCTGACCATGTTCAGAAATGAAAAACATTCCCATTGCTATACAAAAAAATATAAATATTCAGTTAAACAAAAGACATCCTAGATAATGGTTAATAGAATAACTGAAAGTGTCTAGATCCAATGATCATTTGGTCAGTTTTTACTATGTCCCAAAAAGAAATCACTTGTACAACTGCCAGGAAAATATAATCAAAAGCTTAATCGCAGTGACTTCAGAGTCATCTACAATAAAACCTGTATAAAAGAGTGATTGTTGCTGAAATGCACAATTTGTATGTGTGTCTGTGTGTAAATATATATATACAGTGTGTGTGTATATATATATATATATATATATATATATATATATATACACACACAAACTGGTTTGATTAAAAAGAACCAATAAAATCTATCAGTTTAGTAATTATTGTATTTTTCCAAGATTCAATTAAGGAGTTGTGTATTGGGATCAAAATTGTGTAAAAATTGTATGAAGTTCCCATTTGTGATGTTTCGCTTCTTTTCCAATATCTGTTTCACATGACCTCGCCATTGACGATTTCAAATTTCCAGCTTTGCAAATAATACTAGGATGTAGACAAAGGAATTCGGCCTAGCATACAGACACCACATTCATTCTTGAAAATGACTGAGATATTTGAAAGTACTTGAACAAACCAATTGCACATCATGGACTTCATATAGTTTATCCATAATTTTGATCCCAATTCAAAAATAACTTATTCAAATGTTAAACAGACTTTATGGTTCTGTCTAATCCACCTCATTTGAATGAATACATTCTGCCTAAATATATATATATATATATATATATATATATATATATGAAGTGTGTGTGAGTGTGTGTATTTGTGAAGAAAAAGAGGTAATAATGCTGATACACACATAATTATATGTAATTTGTGTCGATAAGGACAAGTAAAATAATCAAGTTTTCTATTGCAAGCAATAGAAGTCCGACCAAGAATTCCATCTTCCAAAAAAGAGATGAAGAGCAGGGTTTTGAGAACACAGCCAATAAAAGTGAATCCAAATTTTCTGTTGCAGACTCTTCCTTCAAGAACAGCAGCAGCAGCAGCAGTCGCCTTCCTGATTGCACCATTATTTATGCCGACCAAGTTTGTCTGCAAAAAAAAGACAAAAAGCACATTTCAAAACAAAAAGATTAAGATTCGTATATTTACTCTTTCTTTTATTTTTTTTATTTCTTTATTCATTTTTAGATAGGATGTTCCAGGTTGAATATTGTCAAACTGTTAATTCAGTGAAATCAGAATAAAAAAAAAAGTCATTTCTACTGAGACTTGAACAAGTATCCCATACCATGGAGCTCATTAAATTTGCCTCGTCACATCAGAATTCATGTAAGATAGACTACATAGATTTGAGCCTTGTTTAAACATTAATTTTCCATGACTGAAATTTGTAATGTGCATGTCTCACTCCAGATCAAAAAGCAGTTGAAATTCTTGGGGCACGTAATGAGAAAAGAGGGCTTGGAAAACCCGATACTCACAGGACAGATTGAGGGAAAGAGGAACAGAGAAAAGCAGCATGTTTGATGAGCTTGACTAAATAGAATAGGGTTTAGGAGAAATAACAAAAACATAAAACTAATTAAGAACTACAAGAGACAGGAAGATGTGGGGGGGGCATGATTGCCTATGTCTTGAAAGACAAGGCACATAAAAAGAAAAAGTGAACCCAGATTCTTAGAATATAGAAGAAGCTGGAAAGATAGTGAAGAGAAATCACCAGATTTTTCTAAAATATTTCACCATTTTTGTGACGTAACAAGAAATTACCATAAACATGTTCTACATAAAACCATCTAAAGATCTAAAAATATAATCAATACCATTGCTGCAAGTTCTAATTAAGAATTCTAAGAGCTACAAGGGACAGGAGGATGTGGAGGGCCATGATAGACTGAAAAGACATGGTAGATAAAAGAAAAAAAAAACAAAAATGCTTTGAACATGCATAGGGTTACATGGAGTGAAAGTGAGAGAAAAGACTGAGTATAGGGAGAATTGAGGAACAAAAAAAAGCTGAACATGATTGAAGAAGACCGAAGATGGAAATTAACTTTGCCTTTAAATTTTTGAAGATTGTAGTTATCAGAGAAGCAAGTAAATGGAAGGGAGTTTCTCTGGCAGGAAGTGCAAGTAAAGAAACTATTGGAGTAGAAATAGCAGTGGCTATTTCAACAGTAAAATGGTGAGACCCAGTTGCCAATCTAGTAGCAAGCTTAAATTCATGCTATGGGACACCAGAGAAAAAAGCTTGTCAGAGCACTGAGATGACCTTCATAAGATTCACTCACTGACTGCATAGGTTTTTATAAAAGGACTTCAGCCTATCAAATTTCACACAGAAACCTGTACATATATATGGGTGTATATGTATCAGCATTTACAGGTGAGTGTGTGTGTGTGTGTGTGTGTGTGTGTGTGTTTACATGTATATTAAATGTTAAGCATTAGGTTTGAATCTGAAACAAGGCAGCAAGCATATATATATATATATATTTATAAATACATTTTTATTTATAACGTATTTTTATATATATTTAAACAATATATAAACAGTATTAAATAACATTTATGTCCGAAAATTTGAAAATATTCGTTCATAGACAGGATTCGAACCTGCATCCTATTATACGACCACTCAGCCTGTACGAGACCTTATGGTGAAGACAAGTCGTTTTATAAACTACAATCTTCCATGAATCTCGTACATTCATAACTGCTCTGGCGTATCGAATGTAAACAAATGACGTCATATGTTGGACAAGGCACGCCAATGGTTTTTATTTATGTTTAACGTTAAACGTTTAAAAATTAAATATTTATTAAAGACATTTTTAACATATGTTTAACGTTAAACATAAATAAAAATAAATAAATGTGTTTATCATAAATAAATTGTCGGAAATACTTGTATCTATAAAAATAACAACGTTAAACATAAATAAAAATGTTTTAAATTAAATTATCGGACATCGTCCATTTCTTAACATATATATATATATATATATATATATATATATATATATATATATATATAAATATATATATAAGAACGTGTAGGATAAAAATCTACATACATGTACATAGTATATATACTTGCTCATATGTATAAATGTATTTCTTCAACAGGTGTTATAAATTCATATTCCAACATAATGATAATGTATTATGCAAGCTCCCAAACAAATCATGATTTTACCACCAGAAACTGACACTGAGCAATATCAAATACAAAAATAGCACAACACTTTCAAAGTAAGTTTGGCAAGTAAAAAACAAAAAAACAAACATAAAAACTCAACCATTGCCTGGGAGATAATCATGAAAGCAAAGCCATGCAATGGAAAGGGAGACAGATGTAATTTGTGTTTGTTGGAGAAGCTTATCATATTTAAAACACTTAAATAACCCCAACTTGCTTGAACACGAGGTCCGAATTGATGCCTACATCTCTTTATAAATCCAAGCACCTGCTAAAACACATTGACCCTGATTGAAAAATGATTACAAAATAGATTTTACGAATATTAATATAATATCCAACAACTTTCTTAGAAACCATCATTAATTACATTTCTTATATATCTATACAAACAATCCAATCTTACTGTACACGATTAATTTATAACGTATGTATATATAATTTCACAATTATAAGTACATTAGATTTATAGTCTCGATCTATTATTTTTTTTATATTTGCACCGTTATCTTATATTTCCACCCTGTGTTCTAGTTTAAGTTAATTCTTATAATTAGAGTATGTTATGTAAAAATAGTTCTCTCTTAATACATTGTTTACTTTTGAATTCAAATTTAAATTTAAGTAATTTAAAATTTTTATTTTTATTTTTTAATTCTTCACCTTTTGAACTTAAGAATTTGAATGCTAATATTTTACACAACAATAAATAAACAAACAAGTTTTAACACACAATTTAGAATCATCACCATGGGAAAGCAAACTCCATAATGGTTAGAACATGTATTTTTTTTCCTTTTAAGCATTTCATCCCAAGCAAGGCGGAAGTGCCACTAGTATGCAAGGGGCTAGAGAGAGCAAAATTAAGGGAAAAGACTGGGTGTAGTTGGGGGCGGTGAGGAAAAGATGAAAAGAAGAATGGGGATCAAAGCAACAGAAGATGTTGATTGACATTACATTTAAATTCTTGAAGATTATAGTTATCAGGGAAGCAAGTAAGAGGAAGGGAATTCCACTGTTGGGAAGTGTGAGAGAAGCTGTTGGAGTAGAAGAGGTGGTTATAGTTAACTGTTTCAACAGTAAAAGGATGGGACCAAGATGCTAACCTAGTAGCATGCTGAAGTTCATGCAGCCAGAGCTGTTGCCATGAAAATATTAATAGAAAAGACAAAGGGAAGCCACATTATGTTGGTAAGAAAGTGACTGGAGTCAAGAACCCAAGTCATGACCAATCACATTGCATATCCATCTTTGGATTTTGTCAAAAACCTCGAGATGAACAGCGGGGGCACCAGACCTGATATAGCAACAGTATTCCATGCATCGGTGAATGGTAGATTTGTAAATGTGAAGGATGGACTCAGAAAAGTAACACCTTGTGGCATGACACAGAAAACCAACTTTCCTTGCGGAAGATTCAATGTATTTATTCCACCTCAGGTCAATGGAAAATGTGTGACCATAAAGACGCAGTGAGGCACTCTTGAGGATTTGAGCATCAATCATGCTGATAGGAGGCAGGGACATTTCTCTGTGGTGTTTTGGATGCATTAAAATTCACAAGCCATTTCCTGCTCCAGTCAACAGCCAGGTTAACTTTGTCAGCAATGCTGGATTTACTATTGAGACACGAGTAAATGGTAGTGTAAATGGTAGTGTCATCTGCGTAGATGCTGATTTGAGAACTGATGGCGTTGGATATTATGTATATACATTTATATATATATATATATATATATATATATATATATTAATGAATATACATAATATCCAACTTTGATAGAACGATATCATCAGTTCACAAGTTGGCATCTATTTATGTTATAATTTTCAAATAAATTATACATATATATATATATATATATATATATATATATATATATATATATATATATATATATTCACAAGCCAGTAGACATAATACACAGTTTAATAAATAAAAATGAAATTTGATGTAATAAAAACATGTTGGATTAAAACTAAATTCATTAATTCTTTAAAAATTGTTTGTTTACCTTTCAGGTACAAAACTGAGCAGATATGAAGCTTTTGAGAAAATAATCTAAGGTAAAGGAGATGTGCTTTCTTTAAAAATGGACAATAGAACCATGCTTATTGCATCATTCTTCATTACCGAGTGAAAAAGTATATTGGATCAAACTGTTTCTCTTACCAAGGAGGACACGGCTTCAATTTTGCCTGCATATATACAGGCTGATAAACGTAATGTACACAGTTTAATAAATAAAAATGGATCATCTCTTTTAAATAAGGCATATCCACTATAATAACATTTCTTTATATATTTGGTTGAGTGGCTAGAACGCTTGCTTTCCTTTCACAAGAATCTAACTCTGGTCATTATGTCAGAAAGGTAACTTTTTGATGATATTCTGTCTGAGGAGGCAATCAGCTTTTGAAAGTGACTGAAAACCATTCAAAGGGTCAACTCAAGTTTTGCAGGTGAAATTAGGTAGACAGAACAGATCGGAAGCAGTTAATGGCTATGCTAGAATAAAGTCACAAGTTAACCACCTGGCCATTAAGTACAGAACCACATGACCAATCAGTTTTACCTGGCTTGCAAATGTGGGAACAAGCTGCATGATAGATACAGATACATAAACACCAACCCCGATGTTGAGAGGGTGGGTCTCTCAGACATTGCAGACCAGAATGTAATGTCCCAGACAAAGAATCCAAGGGCAACACACAGACACTAGTTGATAGTAAATTGACAAAGTCAGCAATTGAATAAAATGTGATGTTAAATATGAAAGATTCACGTCTCATGTCATCATTAATGAATGCAGCTAAACTTCATTAACCATGCAAGAAAGTCACAACGTACAAATGTATGCCTTCTTTATTCTGATATCGTGCTGACAATCAAAGAGAATGGAATGCACATGACAAAAATGAGCAATATGATGAAATAAAACTGATAAAAATAAAAAAAAAGATTTAGAAAATAAAAACATGACAACCTCATATTCAAACAACTGAAATCTAGGTCTGTCTATATTTATGAGATGAGGTATTGTAATTATTTACATTATTTACATTGTCCTCATCTTGATTATCATATTCATGATGTTCTGGCTGTTGTAAGCTCTGGCCTTCTTCAGGTGATTGGAATTTCAAACCGAAACCTTTATTTTGTCCACTGGGATAGATACGAAAACTTAAGGAATCAGCATATATGCTAGACTACAAAATCTCCTATGCCGGCCAAGCATAGACATAAATACAATATGTGAACTAGTAATATGGTGTGCTAGAGACAAGCAATAACAACAAAATTGCAATATGAGCTCCGGTGAAAAAAATATAATACTGAGACATTAATTTTATAAGTCCCAAAAATTCTAACCCGATGTCCTCAAGTGGATAAAAGCATTGGTTGGATTCAGTGACTTCATCCAAAGAGTTGTGAGTTCAATACCTGGCTACTGCAGGGGTGAACAAAAAAAATTAACTTAAAGGGAGATAACTTAGACATCTGGAAAAGGCATGAAATGTGGAACTAGAACAATTTACTCCAGTGGACAAAATAAAGGGTTTGGTTCAAAATTCCAATCACCTAATAAAGGGTGGAGCATACAATGGCCAAAATGTTGTAAATAGGTCAAGATGAAGACAACAATGTAAATAACTAAAAGCTAGTAACCCATTTAGACTATAATAATGTGTAGGGTGCAGTAAATATTTGCAAACACAGGCCATAATATAATGCTATGTAGTATTTCCCAAATTTTAAAATTCTCAATTTTTTTTAGAGGCATTAATGATCTGAAGTTGCATTGGAACATTGGAAGATGACTTACAAAAGCTAAGCAAATTATTAAGAAACAGGAAAATTTCAGTATCTGTCTATATTTCTGAGATGAGGTATTATGTACACTATTTACCTTATTTGGACTATTGTCCTCATCTTCGTTGCCATATTTATCACAACATTTCAGCCTTTCAGTATCTGTCTATATTTCTGAGATGAGGTATTATGTACACTATTTACATTATTCGAACTATTGTCCTCATCTTTGTCACCATATTTATCACATATCAAGTTCCACTTGCTGGGGTTGACTGCTTCAGCTCCTCAAGGACACATGGCACAGTGGATAAAGGCATTGGTTAGATTCACTGACAGGACCCAAAGAGTTGTGAGATTAATACTGATAACTGACATCCATTAAACATGGCATGTGGAACTAGAAGAATCTACTTCAGTGAGTGAAATAAAGGGTTCAGTTTGACATTCCAACCACCTGAAGAAGGCTGGAGCATACAACAGCTGAATCATTGTGATAAATATGGCAACAAAGATGAGGACAACAGTCCAAATAATGTAAATATGAAAATTTCATTACAAACAATTTTTTTCATTCGCTGATTCCGTGGCTGTTCCTTTTTTTAAACATTGTGCATTTTTGTCCTCGATTGGCTCTGAAGAGTGAGGATCAAAAAAAAAATTAGCCTGTTTTTGGTTATTTTCTTGTTTATTGTTGTTATTGTTTTGATTCACCTTTTTATGGCATTTTATTTTATTATACATACTCGTCTACCCAGTCTACTGTTTTTATTTTCATAGTGTATATAATTTTATACAATTTTATTTTTACTAGCATTACTAAAGAAAAGAGTGTTGAACTGTTATGTAATAACAGTCCTATCTGGCTGTGAATGCCGGACACTCTTTTGACACAGATAAATAAGAGACTTGAGAAAACAGAATGGTGGTTCTACAAGTGGGTGCTGAAAACACAATGGACTGAACTTGAGAGTAACAATCCTTAAAATAAAAGGGCCTTACAGTCAGAACTTAATTATGATAAGTTACAAAAATAGGTCCAGGCAAGAGTGGATGGGGACAATACATACCAACAATGTTCAGCTTACACAGTGGACATGTTCGGTTTTTGACTAACCAAGGATCAACACATTTGCAATGATAAGCATGAGAACAAGGTAACACTCGTAATTTCTGGAAAAAAAAAAATGAAAAAATATACAAATGTAGAACAGCTTTTTAAAGATGTTAACATGTGTTTAGATATTTATAATTATAATAATATATATATATATATATATATATATACATATATTTATTAAAGACATTTTTATGTTTAACGTAGTTATTTATAGATACAAGTATTTAAGCAAATGCTCTGTTTATGATAAACAGTATTAAATAACATTTACCGGCCTGAATGTCCGAGAAATTTTCATAGAAAATATTCGTTCTTTGACAGGATTCGAACCTGCATCCTATACGGAACCGTCATATACGCTGACGTGCCTTAACCGTCTCGGCCACAAAGAACCTTTCAGTAGACAAGGTCGAATTTACTGCTTATAAACTTCAATCTTCCATGAATCTCATACATTCATAACTGCTCTGGCGTATCGAATGTAAACAAATGACGTCATATATTAAGAAATGGACAAGGTCCGACAATTTATTTATTAAAGACATTTTTATGTTTAACGTTGTTATTTATAGATACAAGTATTTAAGCAAATGCTCTGTTTATGATAAACAGTATTAAATAACATTTACCGGCCTGAATGTCCGAGAAATTTTCATAGAAAATATTCGTTCTTTGACAGGATTCGAACCTGCATCCTATACGGAACCGTCATATACGCTGACGTGCCTTAACCGTTTCGGCCACAAAGAACCTTTCGGTAAATTCGACCTTGTCTACCGACCTTGTATCGTTAAACATAAAAATGTCTTTAATAAATAAATTGTCGGACCTTGTCCATTTCTTAATATATATATATATATATATTATGGATAAATTGTTGTTTAAATAACATGAAAATAAAAATAACACTGACATCTCATTTGAACAGATATATTTAACAAAATTATACAAAAATATCTTGTGATACTAAAGTGTAAATTTATTCAATAAAATCGCCATTGGCTTCAAGCATAACCTCCAGACATCTTAGGAATCTCCTGCAACTCTTCTGGATAGTCTCCATATTTAAGTTGATGAATACTGTCATAAACCTTGCTTCCAGTTCATCTTTGGTGTTACAAGGAGTTTTGTTGGGAGTTAGGTAGCCAGATGTAAAAGCGTGATGTGGTCAGAAATTTTGTGAGAGCCATGGCTTCTCCTGTGTGGCATTTATAGAATTAAATTTAAAATATTTATCTCTGATTCATTTTCATGTCATTTCTGGAATAACTTATTTTGAAATTTACTGCACGAACAATCTTAGTTGTCAATGTTACAGAAAATTTAAATCATTATTAATAAGGGGTGGTAGGGTATTCATTTACATCGACAACTTCTGTATCAAATCTAAGCTACTTTCAAAATCAGGTTAAGTTAAGGTAGGGTAGAGGTGCCTGTTCAACAAATGATGACATCCATGTTTTGCATGTCGTCTGTTTTCATTTTTTTTTTATTGACACAGTTTTTTTGGCATCTTTATTTTGCTGTTTAATTCCTAATTTTATACACAAAGATTTTCTCAAATGTTCATGAGTATGTTGAATTTTTAATATTTAAAATTTATTCCTTCAATTTTAAAGTATTATCCCTACTTTTAATAACTAATAGATATATGTTTTTTTTTAAAACAAACAAATATAATAGAATTACTTTCTTATTTAAAAATTATTATTCAAAGATCAAGTTTAAATATGTGCTTCATTTTTCATCTTTTTTATAATATTTAATTATTATTTAAGAAAAATCTTTGACAGTGTCTGCAGAAAATAGCTATTTCATTTCTTTGATTAAGCAAATTTTCATTTTTCATAAACTTAACAATATGTAATTTCTCATGTATGCACAAAGGACATGGGTCAATTTATCACCTACAACTTCAAGCTGTTCTTAGTAATTTCCATTTTACAGTAGGTGTTTTATTGATTTCCTTTAAGTGCCAGAAGTATTTAGATAGGGACGTTTGATTCTGGTATTTACTCATTTTAAAAGAACTTTGATGTTGGTTAAATTGCTTCTTGCTCTCATGTCTTGCGCATCCAATGTAGACTTTAACTTCGTCTGGGTCTTCAATAGATGAGATATTACATTGATACACAACTCATTTAGTGGTACATTTATTATTAAGAGGACAGTTTTGAGGATTTCTACATTTACATAATTTTCCTTAATTTTCATTTCTTTTTCTTTCTAAATTTTTATGATTTTGGCTTAAGTGTTTACTCAAGATATTAGCATTATGTTTCTTTATAATCATTTTCAAGTTTTCCATAAAACTGTAACTTAATTTTAGGGTATTTTTATTAAAAATTTTACTGTTACTGAGGTGTTTAATGATTAATGCAAAGAATTTTTTTCCTAATTTATTTTTTACCATTTGGTTGTATAGGGGTGTATACCAAATGATTTTTCTACTTCTGTTTTTTCTATGGTTTACACTTTTTTTTATATAATTGAATTTTGGGCATTTATTTTAAGAGCTTTATTATAGAAATTACTATGTTCATAGAAAATTTTCTCATTTGCTGAATTTTTATTTATTTTCTTTTCAAATTTTTATTTATTCTCTTTTCGTATATGCTTAATTATAGATGGAGGATGATTAGATTTAGGGTGTATATACAAAGGATTAGTACTGGGTTTCTTTTTATAAGACATGTATAAATTATTCAGTAAATCTAATGTTATATCAAAGAAGAAGTTTACTTTTTTCAACTTAGTATTTACAGTAATTTTCAAATTCAGGCATTTAAATTGCCTGATAATAGTTTTCTAATTTTATCAATTGTATATATATCTATATATATATATAGATAATATTAGTGGAAAATATACATACATATGCAAAATATATATATAAAAAAATATATATAAAAAATTCCCATACATGTATATTTTCAGAAAAAAAAAAAAAATTTTCCAAGAGGAAGGATCCACGTAGAACTCAATGTCCAGGACAGAGTAAGGATATAATAAAAAGGCTTAAACCATGGAATATTAGTGTTTAAGCCTTTTTATTATATATATATATATATATATATATTTAAGAGAAAAGAGAAGTCGCAAAAGTTTTTGGTTATAATGTGGATTTTTTTCAAAATATATATTATACTTTATGTTCCATATTTTTTTCTACACAAGTTTTGGGTCTTGTGACTTCATCAGGCAAAGGATGGTTATTTCCAGATATTTAATGGAATTAATTTTTCCTTAGGTTTTCTCATGTTTTACCATTGTTTTTTGCATGCAGTAGTAATCCAAATTCTTCTTGAAATTGTGGAAAAATGTTCTTCATATACATATATATATATATATATATATATATATATATATATATATATATATATATCCTTATTTATATATATGTCCTGTCCTGGACATTGAGTTCTACCTGGATTCTATCCTCTTGAATTTTTATTCAAAAAATATACATGTATGGGTATTTATATATTTTGCATATGTATGTATATTTACCACTAATATTATCTATCTATCTATCTATCTATCTATCTATATATATATATATATATATATATATATAGTAATATGTATGTAGAAAGGAAATATATTAAAAAACATTGGATGTTGAAGGGTTATTTTTTTATTTTCATGTTGACATTTCATAATTTTATGTGAGTATTTTCAAAGTATAAATGAAAACTTTAAGAAATCATTGCCTACATCCTGAAGAGATGCAGAATTTAAAAAAAATAAGATAAGAAAATTTAGATATTGTTCATCAGAGTTTTGAACAAAAAAGCAATTATTACCTGTTTACGATGGAATTGGTCGAGGCACACTGCACATGTATCTTGGTAATAATCTCCAGTTAACCAAGGATTTTGATATTTTTGGGTTCCTATCACAGTCAGAGCTTCATGAGCAAGTTGGTATGAGGCCATCTACAATAGAAATTTAAACATTCTCTCAGATTTTGGTAATAGATAAATAAATCTTTGCCATTTAAAATGAAATACTCATGACACAGCAATAACTCTAGATAATTGTGTAAGAGTAACAATTATTTGGTGTCAGTTTGGGTTCAACATCCAGTCTACTCATGACAAATTTTGTTTCTGAACATCAAGAATAAAAAAACTATGCAGTTCTGCAACCATTTGTTCAATTATAAGAAAACAAGAAGAATGACATAGGAAATTAAGAAAATTTTCCTTGTTGCAGATTTAATAAGTTTTTTTCAGCATAGTTTGTAATTTAGAGGTGTCTTTCTTTGAGGTCAGTCTCCTCTGCTATTTAACCCAGTCCTGGGTTATATATATATATATATCATAAAAAAAGAGATGAATATGATAATATTCATGAAATAAATTATAACTGATTTTTAAGGTGCTATGATTATATATATATATATATATATATATATATATATATATATATATATATACACACACACAACACACACAACTACACACACATGCACACACACTTGACCTAACACCAATAATAAAACCATCCCAATGAATGCATAAAACTTAGTATACCGGTATGAGAAAAACACCAGTCAATTGCTAAAACATCCTGAAGAGTGGATTGAATGATTGCAAAAAGGTTCATCAACAAAACTATTGAGTTAAGTTGCTGAATATACTATCAATCATCTAAGTGACAAATTTTATTTGTATTAATCCTATATATATATATATATATATATATATATATATATATATATATATATATATATATATATATATAGATTAAGAAAAAAGAGATGAATATGATAATATTCATGAAATAAATTATAACTGATATGGATTTTTAAGGTGCTATCATTATATATATATATATATATATATATATATATATATATATATATATATACACGCACACATATACTCACACACAAACACACACACACTCAACCTAACACGAATAATAAGAGCATCCCAACTAATGCATAAATTAATAATATCAAAGTTAGTATACAGATAATGAAATATGAGAAAAACAGCAGTCAATTGCTACACTTTTGTATTAGTAAATTGTTTTTAAAATCAAAATTGTGGTCACATTCATTACAGCGAGCAGTAAGTGTTTTGCTTTGTAAAAGATCCTTTTTATGTTCATATAATCTCTTATTTAAATTCCTTGAGGTTTCCCCAATGTATTACTTGTGGCAATTATTACAGGTGATAGAGTAAATTCTTCTATTAAGTGTTGGCTTCTCTTTACTTTGTTTAAGGCATTTATTATTTTAGAAGTAGTTGTAACAAATTTTATGTTAAGCTTAGATGAATTCTTTTCAATTGTAGTTGAGAAAAGAGGCGAAGTGTCTTGATTGTTTAGGTCATTTGTTATGAAGGACCATACTTCTATTATGATATATTTTACAAGCCTCTTGTTTCACGTTGAATATGAAATAATTAGGGTATTGGTGGAGTTTAAAAGTATCCAAGAATCCATCAAACAATTTTTTTTCCCACTTTGTCCTAGATTTTCCTAAAATTGTTCTGATATCTAAAAATTTATGTTTTGTTTTCCCATATATATATACATGGTGCGATGGATAAATTGTCGTCTAAATTATGTAAAAAAAAAAAAGAAAAAATGAAAATAACACTGACATCTCATTTTAACAGATATATTTAACAAAATGACACAAAAAATATCTTGAAATATTAAAGAGTAAATTTATTCAATCAAATCACCACTGGTTTCAACCACGGTCTCCAGACAACTTTGAAATCTCCTGCAACTCTTCTGGATGGTCTCTTAGTATAAGTTGGTGAATGCTGCCATAATCCTTGTCTTCAGTTCATCTTTGGAGTTCCAAGGAGTTTTCTTGGGCTCCCACTCAAAACTGTGCCCCACACATAATAATCAAGGGGGTTGCAGTTTGGGGAGTTATGTGGCCAGATCTAAAGTGTGATATGGTCACAGAAATTGTCTAACATCCATGACCAGGTTCTCTTGATTGTTTGGCATGGTGCAGAGTCTTGCTACCAGATATACAGTCTTCCAGCAGCCATCCTCTTGACCCAGAGCAGCACTACCTCCTCAAGGCACTTGATGTAGGCCCCTATGTTGAGTCTTAGACCCTCACCAACAAATCAGAACGATCAGTGTGAGTTTTCTGAGCTGCTGTACCTTTGTAATCACCATTAGACTCCTCCAACTCTTTCCAAATCCTCTTCACTGTCCTCAGATTGGCAGCCAAGCACTCTGAAATGTTTGTATTGGAGTTTCTGGTGCAAATGCCAAACAGTACAACATGCCGTTTTTCAAATACAATGCAATTGACACTGATTGTGGTTGTAGATGTTTCTTATTTGTTTCTTACAGAATGTAAATGTAGCAGACTGATGAAAAAAATCCCAAAAAGAAAGAATATATATCATTTTATTGTCTATTTTTAGGCCAGTTAACAAAATTGTGTTCTGATTTAAAAACGTATTTTTCTCATCATGCTTCAATTTTATCAGCTGACCTAATAATATTTAATAAAATGACGATAATATTACAAGAATATATTCTTTCTTTTTGTTTTTTGTTTTATTCACAAACACACATAATGTTTTGAATCTATTTAAAAGAATGACATGTGGAATCAATTATATTGAATGAATTGCTAAGTCTGCTAGGAAAGTTGGTTCACTATTTCGTGCTAGACAATTTTTGTTGCTAGAATCTATTCTACACATTTAAGCTTGCCATTCAATTCATCCTTGCTTTGAATATTGCTACCATATCTCGTCTGATTCTCCTGCTAGAGATTCTTTATAAAATATAAATTTTATTTTTCTCTTAGAACGGTTGCCATCCAAGGCTAAATAGCTAAGTCTTTCCTCCAAGATGGGCTGAAGATGAACGTAACAGAATTTAAACTCGGTTCGCTAAATCGACTTTCCGCACCGATGACCCTTACACTGGTCGCACATTCAAAGGAACGTAATTGTGTAATTTCAATCCGGAGTTATTTCCCTTTAGAATTTTTTTTTTACCGTGTTTTCTTTACTAATGGTAAATGTAATATAAACAGCTTCCATCCAAGGAAACATTTGGCATTTATTGACCAAGCAACTAGTACTGCTTTCGATTGAAGTTTATAAAATCTTTCTCTTACAAAGATTTTTCAGGAAAATAGGTTTCTCAAGTCCAATAAATGTTATCACTCTTTCCAAAATTGATAGGAGTTTCCTTGCTGATCTTTTATTCAAAGTCATGTAGAATGACAACATCTTGATTATGTCATTATTTTCTTTTTGAATTACATGTGTTATCCATTTTAATTGTTGCTGCTGTTGGTAGTCCTCAGGTGATGTGGTTTCTGTTATTTGGTACAGTTCTTTGTGAAGCTATAGCGCCAGTCCACATTGTTCAAAGAAGGATGATCTTTGCCAAGATCCTCAGGCTTCACTTGCTCAAAGGATTTTTTAACCATTGATCTTAGAAAATGGTTGTATACAACTGACAGTTTAGATATTTCTGAATGGATTTGGCAGTATGCATGTCTTGATCTGATGAAGCTATTTAAGAACATGATTCAAGTTTTTAATTTGATATTTTGGTTTTGTAGCAAAATGCAATGTTGGGAAAATAGCACAGCCTATTCTAGGTTCAATTTCCTTTTCTATGTTAAATTTTGTCATAACTCATTTATACGTTGATGTATCTGAAGTGTTTAATATTTCCTAATTCCAATGATGGAATGGCTTGTTTTTTCAGACTTATTCAAATCCAATAAAATATAAATACATTTAAATAATATATATATATATATATATATATATATATATATATATATATATATATATATATATATCCCAGTATTTAACAAATAAATTGTTTGCAACGTAAAACATTTATATTGGTCAGACAACTCAGAATTTAAAACAATTTACTCTTAATATCCAAAACCAAAACTGGTCATAACTTTGATTTTACAAATGCTACCCTAATTAAAAAAGAATATAATTCTTTCCATATGAAAAATACTTTAAGGGGATCCTGATGAATATTTTATCAACTATAAGCACACATCAAAAATATTATATTACATCAACCACCTTTATTAAATCCATTCTTAAAGAATTTAATGTATATTTATCTAACACAACCCATGTTTATGTAAAAACATTCCCGAATCAACCACCACAGATAATGTTTACTAGACATATGTGCACACACGCGCACACACACACACACACTTACATTATAATCTGAATCCCGCATTGACCAACTAGAATTATAATACACTTACACACACATAGCAATATTTACTTTTTTCAGTTAGACATGGAATTTGTTAATTTTTTTGAGCTTTGGATAAATATGTCATGACTCCTTGAGTTTGGAACACCATAAATTATACTAACATTGATTAACAAGTCAAATGCATGTAAAACTTGATTAACCAATGAAAATGAAACAACAAAAATAAAAATATCAGAATTTCTTTCTTCATTTTTTTTCTCCATATTTATTGTTTGATGAAGCTTTAATAAAAGTGAAACATGTTAGAGTAACAAACAGTTCCTATTTGTTCTTTAACATATCAAATAGGATCAGAGGTAAAAGATTAATTTTTATAATTGAAAAGCTTTAAATATTTCCAATATAAAGTCTAATTATGAAGGATAATTGGGATTGACTACCCAATTTTGTTCTGAAGTCAGTCCCAATTTCTAAAAATGGGGGTTGGGAACATTTGCACATACTTAATATTTCAAGCAATATTGCATGTTTTTTCTTTTTTGTTCAACTTGTCGAAAGAATCAGTTTACCCTATTACAACTTTCAAATTGAACAATTTTTTTCAGTTATAAATATAATATTGTTTGTACTCTTAAATTTGAAATAAAAAATGTTTAAATTATTTATGATGAATCATTTGCTGTTAATTAATGTTTTACCCAAATTTCTTTTAGTTTTGCATTTTAATTTCAGCCAAAAATTATAACTAAGAATAACTGCCAATATTTCCTCTAATAATAAAATTCTAATTGACATTAATTTGATTTAAACAGCAATAAACAAAAACAGTTTTGTAAAAGAACTAGAAAATATGAATAGCTGCAAGTATGAGGTGTAGCAAAATGAACTGTGAAAAGTTTAAGTAATCCTGGGTATGATGATAAAGTACATCCAGCAGCAAGGCCTCTGAATGGGAAATTGAGGGTTTTTGAGGAGTGTGACATCACCTCTTAATTTCTGCTGTTTTTAAGTCTACCCTAATTAGGGTCCCAGCTATGGGTAAAATAGTGAACCCCCAAAACAAAAGTCATAACACTAGTAAAGTATAAAAAAAAGCATTTTTATAGTTAAAATGCAGCAAAACATTTTAATTAAAAATATTACCAACAATACATTTTTAATATCTGTCTATATTTCTGAGATGAGGTATTATGTAAATTATTTACATTATTCGGACTATTGTCCTCATCTTTGTCACCATATTTATTACAACATTTCGACCGTTGTACGCTTCGGCCTTCTTCAGGTGGTTGGAATGTCAAACTGAACCCTTTATTTCGCTCACTGTTCTAGTTCCACGTGCCATGTTTTAATGGATGTCAGTTATCAGTTATCACCTGTTAATTTCCCTCTGAAAGTTCTCCACTGCCTTAACCGGGTATTGAACTCACACTCTTTGGGTTCTGTCACTGGATCTAACCAATGCCTTTATCCACTGTGCCATGTGTCCTCAAGGAGATAACTGATAACTGACATCCATTAAAACATGGCACGTGGAAATAGAACAGTCTACCCCAGTGAGCGAAATAAAGGGTTCAGTTCGACAATCAAACCACCTCAAGAAGGCTGGAGCATACAATGGCCAAAACATTGTAATAAATATGGCGACAAAGATGAGGACAATAGTCCGAATAATGTAAATAAATACATTTTTATCATCTCCAAGCTATATATCTAAAAATATACATTCATCCTGAAAATATAAAATTATGTACAAAATATCTGGTATGATGATAAACTACATCTGGCAGCAAGGCCTCTGATCAGGAAATTAGAGGAGTGTAGAGCCACTTCTTAATTGTTGCTGTTCCCAAGTTTACCCTGACTTAGGATGGTAGTACACGTTAGGGCCTCATCTATTGTCGAATAGTGAACCCCAAACTAAAATCAAAACACTAGGAAAGTATAAAAATACATTTTTTTAGTAAAAATACCAGCAATACATTTTTTTAGAGAAATTACCAACAATGCATTTCATAGTAAAATTGAAGACTTGTCATACATTGTCAAAATATAAAAGAAATTTGATTTTGTAAGGTTATTTGGGAAAAAAATAATTATTTAATCATGAAATAATTATCTTCAATTATAAAGTGTGAATTTTCATATTTAGATTTCAGTATTAAATAACCCATAGAGGTGTTGATATGCCACTAAACAAAACCATCTAAAACAAAATATCTGTAGTTGAAGACATAAAATTGCATTCAGAACATATATAGCTAAAGCCATAAAATTGCATACAAAATATTTAGATTTCTGCATTAAATAACCCATAGGGGTGTTGATATACCATTAAACAAAATCAACCAAACAAATATGAGATGTATCAAAACAGTCAGCACCTTCTGACACTAAATAATATCAGTTTTATATGTCTGTAGTCACGATGAAGTAATGGACAGCAGCTCAAATTGAGAAATCGGAGAGTTGAGTTCGAATTCCAGTTGAATTCATTACTTACATGCTAATACCCTTGAGAGAGGTATGAATCCTCTTCTTCTCCCCCCAGCTATGGCTAAATAGCAGGACAGACTGGGTACTATAGCCTTGGATGGCAACTGGTCTACCATAGAAAGAAATGGCAACCTATCAAAAGATACATGATCACCTAAGTTTATATCACGCATGGCACATAACTGACTGAACTGAATCACAGCAAAAGTTTGATTGTGATTTGTTGATGACCAAGGTTCATTATTCTCAACTAATAAATTGCCATGCAAATTTAGCAGTGATGTTAAGTTGTCGCCTCCAAAAAGGAGAAGACAACTCTTATCTACACCTAGGCAAACCTTCATTTTTTATGTCAGTGTGGTTCTTTTCTACATCTAAATCTATCACAGACATTTCACACTTACACCCCTGTCTAGTATTTTCAACAGTTTGATTTTCTGTGATATTGTCAAACCTATATGCTTTCTTTTATTCTTTTCACTACCCATATGGGTATCTGCAGGACTTTTTGACATTTTGAATAATATCTTTACTGAGCACCTGGTAAGTAATCCACAAACAAAGGTGTTGTGATGATCGCTAACAAAAAAACTCGGACAGATGAGGTCACTTACAACAGCTGCACCTTTCCAATGCTTTCTAAAATTTTCCATTTAATCGCTAGTCATGTCAACAGCTGAAAAACTTTTGGATTTTCAAGGTTATCAGATTTTGGAATTTCAGATAAAGGCTACTCAACCGGTATCAGAATATGAATATTTTGAAATGAAAATTGTATGTTGAAGCCATCATGGCCCCAACAAATGAAGTATTTTTTTCTTTTTTTATCCAAGGCATTCTAGAGAGTAAACTTTCATCAATAAAAGGAATTTTCCTGGGAGTTTTTTTTTTTTAAAAGAAATGGGGGTTGAAGAAAAGCAAATAAAAATTTCAAGTTACTCACATCTACTTCTTGATCACAGCTTCCACGACGTGTTTTGATTACAAACGCCATCATCAGAGTCAGCAAGCCACAGTAAAAAAAGTTCCAGAAGTTTCCAGGATCTGCCTATAAAAAAGTGTTTATTTAACAAAAATACATTTACTCATGGCACAAGGCCAAAGAAAAAGGGAGGAAAAAGCTGGTCATCATTAACTATCCTACTCGTATGTAGTTCAGTTCACAGCCTATTCATTCTACCAATTGACACAATAACCTTCTTCATTCTGTTCATACATGTAATAAAATCCTGCAGTTTCACAGGGAACCATTAGGTAATAAAGCATTATAATACACCCACAATGATAAAAGTTCCTGGATATATATATATATATATATATATATATTTTAATTCATATATATAATAATTATATATATATATATATATATATATATATGTATTGTAAAAGAGAAAGAACAGCAAGATATATATTTTTTATTTTTACAAAATAGTGCTCAATCCAAATCTACATATATATTTGCTTGAAAATTAGGGACTTTAATTTAATTCTTTTGAATTTGAAGTTTTTAAAAACATTTTAAATAGATTAGAGAAGAATTGATTCATGCTTTTCCCAAGTGTATTTTCAACATTAGTAAGAGTTCTCATGTTTTTCATTCCATTAAATAATCCAATCTTAAAGAGAATTCAGCCTAACAAGACTTTAATTCAAAATTTTTTTGTAAAAGGTAATTCAAATAATTATATTGAAAGGTATAATCCAACTCCAAGAACTTTATAAACAGTATACAAATAAAAAAGATTGTTTTCTTTAAAAAAGAAAATATTTATTTTTAATAAAAATAAAATCAGAATAAATTTGCAAAATTTGAAACATGAGGCAAGTGTGACTTATCATAAGAGTCAATAAGCCAAGTTCAATTTCCAAACTATATTTTAGAAAGGCATTTATAGATTATAGTAGAGTGGATTGAGTTCTCAAGCCATAAATTCAATTGAATAATTAAAAACCATGGATATATATATTCCAAGAATGAAAAGCAATTTATAATAAAGCAAAAAGAATAAGAGCTGAGAATTTTCAATATATTAGTTTATAGTTGATTTTTCAATTTTTATATAATGAATGCATTTACACAGTACAATTAAAAATTTTTCACGAAATAAAGTACTTATTGTACATTGGTCTGCAATGGTTATTGTGAATTTTTTAAATTGATTATTTCTAAAAAATAGATCTTATCCTAAGTATCATTGTGCATTTTATACTTAGTAACCTTAAAATAAATAACAAATTAATTAATTTAAACAGGTAGTTGCTTTATCTATATATACAGTACAATTAAAAATTTGAGTCCACATCTGGTAATTTTTTAAATTAGCCCTAAAAATAGTTGCTTTGTACTTAAGATAAGAGAAAATTGATAAAAAAGAAAAAAAAGCATTTTTATGATTAAATTTTACTCTCCTCAAAATATTCTACTTTAGCTTTGATTAATGTAGTATTAATTTTTGGCATTTGTTACAAAAGTTTCTCAAAGTATAAGTTTGAGAATTTATTCCATTCTTTTTTTCAATGATTCTAAGAGCTTTTTTAATTTTTTTTTTCATTCTTCTGTCAAGTTCATCCCATGCTAATTCTGAGAGTGGCTTCAAACTTTTGAACTGTAGTGTGCATGTGTCTATATATATATATATATATATATATATATTATGGGCACGTTGCTGAGTGGTTAGAACATTTGCATTCTGACCATGAGACCCAGGTTTGAATTTTCTGACGTTATTGGACTGGAAGGGTCGATCCCAGTGCGCAAAACCTTTGGAAAGTTCCTGGAAACCATACCTCGAGTGTGCTGGCCTTGTTCAAATTGTTGATCACGCTAGATAACATGCTCTTTCCAAGAAACTATAACTAAGGTTTGCTCAGCATAGTTGCAGTATAAACCACAGGTGGGCTCTGTGGGTGTTGAACAAACACAAATGTGCAAGTGTCTACAACAGAGATTGGCTAGCTGCACTAGTAGATGGGTATCCTCGAATATGCATAGCCAGCTTTACTATATATATATATATATATATATATATATATATATATATATATATAGATGCATGGTGGAGTAATGGATAGCAGTGTGGATTGAAAAATCAGAGAGTTCAAATTCCAGTAAAGTTAATTACATTCACGTACATGTGAATGCCATTGGGAAAGGTATGAATCCATCTTTTCTCCCCCTAGCTATGAGTAAATAGCAGAATAGACTGGGTCGAATAGCTTTGGGTGGTAACTGATATAGGAGAAGGATAACACTGAATTCAAAATCTGAGGAGGGTTGTTTATGGTTCTTGGCATGCTGCTGAGCTCTTCTAAAAAGTGCGGTTGGTTCTGTACCAGCCATCATCACTATAATGAAATCATGTGTCAGAAGTCTGGCTGTTTGGTTCTAAGAGCTGAGCTGCTGGATTCTCATCCATCAAAAAGAGTTCTTAAGATACACACACATGCACACACACACACACACACACACACACACACACACACATATATATATATATATATATATATATATATATATATATATATATATATATATATTACAACTGCTACACTGACTACAAAAGAATTAGTCTGACCTATAGATAAGAAAATTTGTTTTCTGCTAGTCGACATCTTGTTTCTAACTTCTTTCTTGGAACCAAAAAGAAGTGAATAACTAGTTCTAAGTTATCTGTTCCCTTAGTTGCACCAAAGTTGTGGGGTCAGCATCAATCCCTGACGTATCCCTAAATGACTTCAGGGTGCTGGATATTTTATGGAATTACCTACATATATGCATATAGGGCTCCACGGTAAATTTGACCATGTGTCATATACCATCCTTGTTAGAAGCTTGTTAAGGTTACATCTCAACTAAATAAATAAAATATGTCACATTATTCTAAAAAAATCATGACATTAAAAATATTTATGATGTCATAAAATGAAGAGCAGATAATTCAGCAATTTTCTTTTAAATCAGAAACCATTTTGAATGGTAACAAACAAGAGTCTATTTCAAGTAATAGACTTATTTTGTGATTAAGAACTAAAACGGTTCTTGTCTGAAAATTTTAGATTTTACCACTGAACTGATATAAGTCTGCAATGTCCCGACAACCATCAAGTTCCTACCCTCTAGTGAGGAAGGATTCTGGATCAAAGAGTCTGTATGTATTTGGCCAAGAATGAGGAAATTCTTTGTTTGACTTTTCTATAATTTATCATACATAAGATTAAGAAACTTTTGAAGTACCGTTCTCTAGTTTAGAAAAATACAAATATTTATATATGTTTGGTTTAAATCATTGGTTCTCAAACTTTTTATCCATAGACCACTTTTACCCAGGGACCACTTTTACTCTTAATTTTTTTTATGGTCCCCCCCCATAACAAGTTGATGAAAAATAAACTTATTCTTTACAAATGGATAAGTTTAGGAATTGTATTATAGAAATAGTAAGTGTATATGCTTTATTTTGATATAAAACTAATTTAAAATAAACTTGTATTTAATAACTAAATTCTATAGAATATTTATGTGCACTAGTAAAATAACTCATAATAAACCATTTTAAAATATATAAGGAATTAATAAATTTTAAAAAGTGAAGATTTATTCAATGAGATCTTCGTGGTTGATTCTGATCTGCAAATTTTTTTTATATTCAGTTCCATCAATGGAAGATCACTCTTTTTCACAATTTTGTGTCTATTAATATATCAATATAATAATATTTTATTTTATTAATATTTAAAATTAATATTATTATTTATTAATAATATATTAATATATATATATATATATATATATATATATATATATATATATATATATATATATAGATATAGATATATATATAAACGTTTATGGTTGTAATATGTTTTTTTTTTTTAAATATTATGCTTTATTTTCCATAATTTTACTACACACGTTTCTGGTCTCGTGACCGTCTTCAGGTAAAAGTGGAGATTTCCACATATTATTAAAAATAATTAATTTTTTCCTTATGTTTTTCAATGTTAAATATTCTCGATATGAGACATTCTCTGTTTTTGTGTTAGTAATCCGAATTTCTTTCTTGAATCGGCAATGAAGAGTTCTGCGTGAAGGGTCATAAAACAATTAAGGTTGGTCCAAGAGAAATGATGAATTACTTATCGGCATTTTATCTTTTAATGTTTTAATGACCCCTGTGCATTCTTAGATCTGTTTCCATTTTCATCTGTTTCTGTCAGCATGCGTGTATATATGCGTGCGTATATTCCCTCTCCATACATATACTGTCTTACTACGAGGAATTAGTAAACTCATTTGTACATATAGACACATACATACACATACGCACATACACACCGTCCCACCACAAGGAATCAGTACATACACACACATACATACACACACATACATACACACACATACTTCCCAAGTTACATGGAACCAGTATACACACACACACACACACATATATACACATACACATGTACATACATACACACATACTTCCTCCTTCTTTTATGTACCCTTCTCAGTTTTACTCGACTTTTATGATCAAAACGTCTGTTAGAATAAAAGCGATGCAAACTTATATCACTTGGTCTCATTTTCTGCTAGTTTTAGTGTTATTTTTTCTATTTTTAGTATTTTAATATAGCATAGATTACTGTAGATATTCCATTTCTCAGTTGTAACAACCTTTCCAACGTGAACTTGCTCTATGGATCATTAAACTATGACCATAAATCCAAAATTTCCTATTTTTTTGTGTGGACCCCCAGTAATGTTACATGGATACCTGGGGCCCATAGGGACCCCAGTTGAGAACCTCTGGTTTAAATGAATAGTTACAGTCCAGGTATTTTTAGGTTTTGCTATTGAAAATATGCAGATACTTTTATTAATTTATGCAAGTTTTTGTCCTTTAATTTATTTATTTATTTATTTTTTTATTTAAAAGAAATTTATTTTTAACCCCAACCTTTAGGATTAATTTGACATTTCATTAATATTATGAATAGGACACCCATTTTTAAGATTATATAATAAAAAAATTATATTTTTTGATTCTG